ACTGACGATCTTAGTGGATATGGTTATGTGTTCTTGATGAAACACAAATCGGAATCATTTGAAATGTTCAAAGAATTTTGAAATGAAGTAGAGAAACAACTGGGAAAAAGCATCAAAACTTTGCAATCTGATTGTGGAGGAGAATACTTAAGCCATGAGTTCGATGACTATCTGAAAAAGCATGGGATTCTTTCTCAACTCACTCCTCTTGGAATGCCACTGTGGAATGGCGTATCCGAAAGGAGAAATCGAACACTGTTGGACATGGTTTGATCCATGATGAGTCATGCAACACTCCTAGACTCCTTTTGAGGATACGCGTTGAACACAGCGATATACACTCTAAATAGAGTTCTAACTAAAGCAGTAAAAGGAATACCATATGAGATATGGACAGGCCGTAGCGCGAGGTTATTTCAGATGAAGATTTGGGACTGTGAAGCATATGTCAAACGTCTGTTGACGTTAGGTAAACTTGACACCAACTCTGATAAATGTGTCTTCGTTGGATATCCAAAAGAAACTCGTGGATATTATTTCTATTATCCAACTGACAACAAAGTTTTGTTGCCCGAAATGGAACCTTTCTAGAAAAGGAATTTCTATCTAAAACAGTTGATGGAAGAAAGATAAATCTCGAAGAAATTTGAGACAACGAAGAAGATAACCAACCAGACGAAGAGAGACAGCAAGAGGAATAAATCGTTGTTCCTACACCCACCCAAGAAACACAAGTCCTCTGAAGGTCCATGAGAACACGAAATCCACCCGAGAGGTATGGGTTTCTCCTAACCTGTGAAGGAGACGTGTTTCTCATCGAGAACGACGAACCTGAGAACTACCTCGAAGCCATAAGTGGCCTAGAGGATGAGGAATGACGTCAACCCATGAAATCTGAAATGGATTCCATGTACACAAACCAAGTATGGACATTGGTTGATGCACCCACTGGAGTCAACCAATTGGGTGCAAGTGGGTCTTAAAAAAGAAGACTGACATGGATGGGAAGGTACACACCTTCAAAACACAATTAATAGCAAAACGTTACAAACAAATACATGGTATTGACTATGATGAAACCTTTTCTCCAGCCGTGATGATAAAATCCATTAGGATACTAGCTATCGCTGCATATCATGATTATGATATCTGGGAGATGGACATAAAACAACTTTCTTAAATGGAAACCTCATTGAGGATGTGTACATGACACAACCTAAGGAATTTTACGTCCCCGAGAAATCTGCCAAGGTATGCAGGTTATAGCTATCAATCTATGGATTGAAGCAAGCCTCGCGGAGTTGGAATATTTGATTTCATGAGACCATAACTGGTTATGGGTTTCAAACAAATGAAGATGAATCTAGTGTATACAAGAAGACTAGTGGGAGTACCATAGTCTTTCTTGCGTAGTATGTAGACGACATATTATTAATGGGGAATGATATACCTACTATATCCTCTATAAAGACTTGGCTGAGTAAGAACTTCTCCATGAAAGACTTGGGAGATGCAAGCTATGCTCTTGGAATCAGGATCTATAGGGATAGATCAAGGAAGCTAATTGGCTTAACTCAAAGTAGATATATTGACAAGATTCTCAAACGATTTCAGATGGGAGAATCTAAGAGAGGGAACTTGCTAGTAATCCAAGGAATTAGTCTTTCCAACACACAAAAACCTTCCACAGAGGAAGAAAAGAAATGCATGGAAAATGTTCCATATGTGTCTGCCATTGGATCGATCATGTATGCCATGATATGTACGAGACCTGACGTCGCCTATGCACCTAGTATCACAAGTAGATACAAATCCAATCTCGGTGACAGTCATTGGATGGCCGTGAATACTATCCTTAAGTACTTACGAAGAACTAAGGATGCCTTCTTAGTTTATGGCGAATACGAAGAGCTCAGAGTAATGGGTCACACTGATGCAAGCTTCCAAACGGACAATGATGACTTTAAGTCACATGCAGGTTATGTTTATTGTCTAAATGTTGGAGCGGTAAGTTGGAAGAGCTACAATCAAGACACTACCGCAGATTCTACTACAGAAGCAGAGTACATGGCAGCTCCCGAAGTAACAAAAGAAGGTGTTTGGATAAAGAACTTCCTCACAGAACTTGAAGTGGTTCCAAGCAGTCGAGACCCCATCCCCTTGTGTTGTAATAACATTGGGGCTGTCGCACAAGCTAAGGAACCACGGTCTCACCAGAAAACCAAGCACATTGTAAGACGCTATCACATAATACGAGAAATCATAAAATGTGGAGTTGTAGAAATTTGCAAGATAGGACAAATGACAATCTAACAAATCCATTGAAAGTTATTATTTTGGAAAGAAAATAAAAATATTTTCTTGAAAGTTTTTATTTTGGAAAGAAAATAAAAATATTTTGAAGATATTGATTTTTGGAAATTTAGGATCTACAGAAAATTAATTTAAATAAATTGTTTTCATTCTTATTAATTAATAGTTGATATACATTTAAAAATAAAATTGTAAGAAATGTAGAAATTCTATTTTTAGATTAATTTTTTATTTAGAAACAAAGTTTTCATATTTCAAAATTATTGATTTTCCATATTTTTATCTTTGAAATTTACTTTGGAAATTAAATTTGTTTCTACGGTTGATAAATGTTATATTTCAAAAATATAATTTTGTGAAATCGGTAAATTTGATTTTTAGTTTAATAAAATTAAAATATATATTCAGTATTTTAGTATTAATTTTTGAAAAGTATAAGTATATATGTCAAATAAAAATCCTAGTTTCGATACATACACACACATACACAGAGATATATTCACATATAGTAGTAACGTGTTTTAAAATTTTGGAAACTTCAAAATTTTATTTTGATATTCTGGATTTTTAATATATTATTAATTATATTATTTAATAACTTATTTCTTTCGTAGCCACGTAAGTACGTTATTTTAATCATAGAATAAATTAGTTTTGGGCAAGCACGTACGATTCGATTGGTGTATGCTTATTTATTTGCATGTGAGGCATGATTATGGTTAAGGTATGAAATACTTCCTTTGTTCCAAATTAAGTTACACGTTTATTATTCATAAAGTCAAATTTTAGTTTCTAGAAACTTTATTCAAACTTTACTTATTTTTGTTATTAATTTAGAAAAATAATGTAATCATGTCATCTTCTATTTCGTAGAGATTTTGATGTAGTTTCTAAGTATGTAAATTTTATTTTTAATTCCGCTCCAATTCTCAAATAAGCTATATTAAAAATAACTTCAATCAAACATTGTAACCCGAAACAAATGATTTAAGTTGGGACGGATGAAGTATTATATTATAAATACAACTTACGTATCATGTCTCATTTGTTCATCTCAGGTTGTAAATCTTTTAATAATTTTTTTCTAGTTTGATTCGAAAAAGTCAAATTAGATGCATACAAGAGAAAATGAGAGTAGCTGGTAAGGCGGAAAGGGCCTTGACATGCTACGGGCATTCAGTGCCGACGGGAACACCACCCGATGATCGGTATTCTGTGTACAAGGGAAGCTGATGCAAGAGACTGAAAACTTTAGCCTTTGGTTGCTGCTTTCTTTTTTTTAACTTTTGAGTAAATTCTAGAATTGGTCTTTTTATAACAAGAGTTTATCATATTAAGTCATCTACGATCAAATATTACGCTTGTTGCACTTCTTTTATCGATATCTTTTTATGGATAGTCTTTTTTTGCCTTCTATCATGTTTATTAATTCGAGAGCTAAAAGTGTAACTTAACATTGATCCTATATCTATTGACATACTATAATGTCGGCTTGACGGAGAAAAAGAACAATTATGACTATGATTCCGCACAGAGACGACTATGTACTAGACAACGATTCTAGTTTACAAATAACGCATCAGAGAAGAAAGCTATATGATTATTATAAAATTACACTTTTAACACTTAAAATAACACAATAATATGACAGAAGGTCAAAAAATGAATTATCGGTGAAAAGGATCACAAGCATAATATTTAATAATAGAAGACTAAATATGAAAATTCTCTATTATAACATACTAATTATAGAATTCATTCTTAATTTGTTTTCTTTTTTTAATTGGGATGGACACCATTATATGAAAATAAAAGAAGAATCAAATACTACTGATGGGTATATCCTTATACCCGACCCGGATAACCGAAAGGGACAGGTCAAAATATGACCGGTCACTTTTATCAAGTCACCAAATGATGTTAACTTTTCGATTGGGACGGGTCAAAAGTTGACCGGTCGCTTCCACTAAAAAAGTGACCGGTCACATTTTGGGCGTTAGCCAATTCGTCACTTCATGTTACGAAGGATAGTCCAAAGGACCAAAGAGACGGGTCGAACTCAAGAAATGACCGGACAACCTTGGAGAAAAGATGACCGGTAAGGTTGCGTCACTTGGGAATGGCAATCAACATCAAAGGCCAGGGGACCACCCCGCTGTTCGGCCTTTACGAGGCAAATAGTGAAAGGAACATTTGTCACTTTGCAGGGTTGATTGGATTGAGAATATCCGTTTATAGTCTTTGATTGAACAGTACTTGTCTTGGCTTGTAGTTGCTAAATTCATTGATTGAATAGTAGGTTGATTATGTACAGTGACCTTTCCACGGGCTTCCTATTTTGTCCATGGATGAACAGGGCAAGGTCACAAATCCTCCTCTATAAATATGATGATATTTGATAGAGGAGGGGATCCAATTTTTCTCTCACTAAAGTTCACTCTTGAGATAGAGTAAGAAATATAATTCGTACTGAGGAGATTTACCCGGTCTAGGTCATACTTTGTGTTCTTGTTGTGTGTTTTATATTACGGGTCGAGTGTGTCCAGGTCATACCCGGTTAACCCACCCCGCTATATTTACACCATCATTTTTTGCGCCATTCGTGGGACCGATTTTTAAAGTTTTTTTCTGACGAGGTCAAAACTTTAACCCCATTAAATATCCACAATCATGTCTTCGAGCAACTACAACGTTGTGTCAAGCCAGGCTGCGAGTGAAAGTACTCCTGCCATCCCATTGATGATGTCGAGCATGGGGACGACCTTTGCCCCGATCACCACTGTAGGATCGATTGGCATGATCCCAATCATGTCAACCTCTACTCCTACGCCGACGACAACAATGTTCCCAGGCTCGATAACAACGCCTGGTGGAGCATTCACACCGTACTCGTCAGCTTGGGCTCAGTTTGCTGCTGACCCGACAAATGCTCAGGCTCTACAGGGCTATCAACAGGTGATGGCCATGATGCAACAAGCAGGGGGCTTCATGCCATTTTCCTATCCTGGCATGACGCCATCAATTATGCCACCTCCGGTGTCGACCCTGTCGACATTTGTCCCTAGGATGGTCCCTATACGCCTGGTGAATTTGACGGGGACCATGAATGAAGCAGCGCCCTCAAATGTTCATGAAATCGATGAGGCGGAGCAGGAGGCGGCCCGCAGGAGGAAGGGTAAGGCTATAGCCAAACCGAGCAAGACTCGAGATTCGGCGTTCAAACGCCTGGGGGACAAAGAGGATGGACCCCGCAAGTCTGCCAAGCTACGTTTTGGTCCTGAGATGGGCCAGACTAGCGCAATGGAAAGACTTGGCGGGAGTCGTCACGCCCAATCTCGTCGTTCTAGGGAATCTGAGACGATTCACCAAGACGAGGAGGAAGCAGAAAGCCAGCTCAGGGCGTCAGCATATACCAGGCTCTCATACGATGAGGATGACCTGGACAAGATAGGGAGCGTAGCAAGGAAACTACGTGCCCTGGAGGAAAAGGTGGAGGAGAAGGCGGGAGCGAAAAAGCACACCTTGGCTAAATCTCCCTTTTCGGCCAGGGTACATGCGCAGAGGTTGAGGCGGAAGATTAAGCTGGACGTGGAGAAATTCACAAGAAAGGAGGATCTAAACGTCCACCTTGACACATTCCACAATGCAGCACAGATGGCCGGGTGCACTGATGCTGAGGAATGCCTACTCTTCTTCTCATCCTTGAGAGGGAGGCCAGTGAAATGGTTTAACGGCCTTCCCCATGGCAGGATCAGGTCCTTTGAGAAACTTGCCGAAGTTTTCCGCAAGAAGTACCAGGACAATTGCATCAAGAGGAAGAAGTTCACTTACCTTAACACGGTAGGCAGAAGGAGAAGGAGTCTTTGACTCAATTCTTGACCCGCTAGAGGGACGAGGTCGACAAGGTAGAAGAGATGGACGACAAGACGGCCATGTCTTTGCTGATGAATGCCTTCCGGTCGGGTGACCTCTACACTGAATTCTGTAGAAGGCCACCCTCCTCTTATCAAGAAGCCTACAATACGACATGGGAATACGCCGAGGCGGAGGTCTTGAACAAGAGCAAGCGGGAGCTGGAGGAAGGCTATACAAAGGTGAAATCCGACAAGCCGAAGAAGGACGACCAGATTGGAGGGTCCAAGCCAAAGGCCACATATGACGGATCTGTCCATCAAATAAGGGATGAGAAGAAGGGAGAACAACCCAAGAGGCCTTGGACGGAGAAGTGGTGTACCTACCACCAATCTGACTCCCACAATACGGTGGATTGCCGAAATGTCAAGGCTGTGCTCAAGAAGATGGCCTTGAAAGGAGAGCTTGGGGAAGGTTACGCGACGGGGAATAAGAAGGACCCGAAAGCGAACACCTGGACCCGTCCTCAGGGAAAAGACCAGGGAAGGAGAAAATCCGGTAAGGATAACAACAATCCGGATAAAGAATTCATAGAGATGATTGTCGGCGGCCCAGAAGGCGGGGATACTGCCTCCCAACGGAAGAATTGGGCCAGGAGCTTACACGTAGCGTTGGTTTCCCTGGAATCACAAGGGAAGCACCCAAGGATGGAACCTATCACTTTCACTGATAGGGATCTTTCCAAGACGGGGGGAGATCATAATGACCCTTTGGTCATTACAATGGATATCAATGGAGCTGATGTGGCCAGGGTCCTGGTTGACACAGGAAGCAGTGTTAATGTTTTATACTTGGATGCTTTCAACAAATTGAAGCTTGACAGGTCCATGTTGAGGCCATTGCAAACTCCATTGTCAGGCTTCACTGGAGCTAGCATAGAAGCGAAAGGTCTGATAACCTTACTGGTTACCTTGGGGTCAGGTAACAGGACAGTGACCAAACAAATGAGATTTGTTGTGGTCGACATCAAATGTGTGCATAATGCCATTCTGGGTAGGCCTGGAATCAACCAGGTCAGGGCTATTATTTCCATGGCACACTTATGCATGAAGTTTTACACTCCCAATGGAATCGGGGAGGAAAGGGGTGATCAAAAGAACGCCCGGTCCTGCTACCTGGAAGCAGTCAAAAAGATGACCCGCCAGTTCGAACAAATTGAACTGGTCTCCAAGCAGGTAGACAAGGGTGAGGAGAAGGCTAGGATCGAGCCAGATGCAAACACGGAAGAGATCCATATTGATGCCTCCAATCCTGAAAGGAAGGTCAAAATTGGGGCTGATCTTCAGGAAGAGCTAAGGACTGAGATTGTCCAGGTGTTGACCAGGTATAAATCATTATTTGCCTGGAGTGTTGCTGATATGCCCGGGATTGACCGGTCAGTCATTTGCCATCGTCTCTCTGTTCTTGAGAGGTCTAGGCCTGTAAGACAGAAGAAGAGATTCTTGGCAAGTGATAGGAGGGACTTTGTGAAGAAAGAGATCAAGGACCTACTTGAGGTAGGTCATATCAGGGAAGTAAACTACCCTGAATGGCTGGCCAATGTTGTCCTTGCCCCGAAGGGTGATACCTGGAGGATGTGCGTGGACTACACAGACCTCAACAAGGCATGTCCAATGGATTCTCACCCTCTCCCTAGCCCGGACCAAATGGTTGATGAAACCGCCGGGTGTGAGCTGCTTAGCTTCATGGATGCCTTTAAGGGGTATCACCAAATCTTCATGGCAGAGGATGATGAAGAGAAGACGGCCTTCCTCACTCCGGACGGCACATACTATTACAAGGTGATGGCCTTTGGGTTGAAAAACTCAGGGGTAACTTACCAAAGAATGGTCAACAAATTGTTCAGGCCTTTGCTTGGATGGACCATAGAGGCCTATGTCGATGATATGCTCGTGAAGAGCAGGGCAAGCGGCACACATGCTCAGGACCTAGAAAAATGCTTTGAGATTATGGCTAGGCATAATCTTAGACTTAACCCGAAGAAGTGTGTTTTTGCTGTGAGAACGGGGAAGTTCTTGGGCTTCATGGTCACGAAGAGGGGGATTGAGCCAAATCCTGAGAAGATCAAAGCCATCGTTGAGATGCAACCCCCAACATCAGTAAGGGATGTCCAGCGGTTAACAGGGCGCTTGGCGGCCTTAAACCGGTTCTTGTCCAGGTCGGCAGAGAAGGCTTTGCCTTTCTTTAAGGTTTTAAAGACCTTAAAGAAAGCCAATACCTTCCAGTGGGATGATGAATGTGCCAGGGCATTCGAAGAGCTGAAGACATACTTGACTTCAGATATTGTCTTGTCCAAGCCAGAAACAAAGGAAACCCTCTACCTCTACTTAGGGGTTACTCAAATGGTTGTTAGCTCAGTCTTGATGAGGGGTGATGGGGTCCAGAGGCCCATTTATTATGTAAGCAAGGCCTTAAATGGGGCAGAAAGTAGGTACACTCCTACGGAGAAGGCAGGATATGCACTTTTCATAACAGCGAAGAAACTCACGTCGTACTTCCAGGCCCATCCCATTGTCGTATTGACCAACCTACCATTGGGCACGGTCATGAGGGACTCCACATCATCGGGAAGGATGATCAAATGGGCCATGATGCTTACCCAATTCAACATTGAATATTGTCCGAGGACGGCGATAAAAGGGCAAGCTGTGGCTGACTTTCTTGTGGAGATGACGGGTCACCAGGAAGAAGAACCGGCAAGGGCCATCACCGAACCTTGGTGGTCCATGTCGGCAGATGGAGCCTCTGGACCGAAAGGTTACGGGGGAGGCGTAGTATTCACAACTCCGTAAGGGTTCAAGGTATATCATGCCTTGATCTTTAATTTCAAGCTCACAAACAATGAGGCGGAGTATGAGGCATTGATAGGGGGTCTGAGACTGGCCAAAACCCTACAAATCACATGCCTCAGAATCAAATTCGATTCAAGTTTGGTGGTAGGCCACATCAATGGCAACATGGAGGCCAAGGGAGAGAAGATGCAAAAGTACAGGCACTTGGCAAAGGCACTATTGAAGGACTTGGCTGAGTATGTGATGGAACAAATCCCTAGGGGGGAGAACACCGATGCTAACTTGCTATCAAAATTGACGGAAGCAGCCCCGGAACATGTGTCAAAATTGGCCAGGATTGAGATGCTAGAGAAGGCTAGCATTGAAGGGCTTTCTGTTAGCCTGATTGAGGAAGATGGACAACCCAATCTAGGCCTGGTGGAACCAGATGATATTTGGATAGATGACTTGGTCAAGTATTACATGGCTGGGCAATTCCCTGAGGATGAGGACAGAGTAAGAAAAGTAAAGTTGAGAGCTCCAAGATTCCAAATGCTTGATGGGAGGCTATACAAAAGAGCATTTGGTGGTCCATTGTTAAGATACTTGACTAGGGCAGAGGCGGAAAGAGTGATTGCCGAAGTTCATGAGGGTGTCTGTGCAGCCCACCAAATGTCCAGGACACTCGCACAAAGAATCATCTTGCTAGGTTACTTCTGGCCTACAATGAATCAATATTGTGAGAAGTATGTACAAAGGTGCAAGACTTGCCAAGTGTTCTATAAGTTTCCAGGAAGGCCTGCAACATACTACCACCCAGTTTCTAATGTTATTCCATTCGCAAGGTTTGGGATGGACATCATTGGGGCCTTCCCTCAAGCTCAAGGGAGAAAGAAGTATGTCATGGTCGCTATCGACTACTTCACAAAATGGGTGGAGGCCGAGGCATATGCAACCATCACAATCAAGCAGTGCCAACGCTTTGTCTCGAAGAACATCATCACTTGGTTCGGGTCACCCCGAAACATTGTGACAGATAACAGGCCTCAATTTCGGAATCCAGGGTTCACCAAATACTTGGAGGACTTCGGGATTACTCACAACAAAGCTTCCGTGGCCTACCCGCAAGGGAATGGCCAGGTGGAGCATGCGAACCGCACAATAGTCGATGGGATCAAAAAGCGGTTAAGTGAGGCAGGAACGAATTGGTTAGAGGAGTTGCCACATATCATCTGGGCTTACCGGGTCACTTCAAGAAGGGCCACAGGGGAGACACCCTTCGTCCTTACATATGGGTGTGAGGCCAGACTACCCATCGAAGCTAAAATAATGACCTTTCGGGAGAAGGTCTATGAAGAGAAAGGGAATGAGGAAAACCATTTGGCAGAGCTAAACTTGTTGGAAGAGAGGCGGATGGTCACTGAGGCTAAAATGATGGAATACCAGCAAGCAGCCAAGGCCTATCATGATAACAAGGTAGGGCCTCGTTATTTCCAAGTGGGTGATGAGGTCCTGAGACGAAGGGAGGCCAGCAAACCCGGAGACGGGGGAAAACTTGCAAAGAAATGGGAAGGCTCATATAGGGTCACAACAATATTACGCCCTGGGACATACAAGTTAGAAACAATGGAAGGTCTAGAGTTGGAAAGGTGCTGGAATTCCCACCACCTTAGAAAGTTCTACCGATAGGCCAAATTGGCAGGGCATATATTTGTAATACTCCTTCGATGATAAATAAGAACTTTCTTCGATACTTGTGTTGCTGGGTCAGTAATACTAAAATAATATGTCTTAATGTAAGAGGCAAGGTAAAAAAAAAGAGAGATAAACCCTTGAGATAGGGGCCTTGATGTTGAGGTATGGCCTTGAGATAGGCTGGGTATGGAAGAGGACTCGCGTCCATACTTACATGGATCCCTACCAAATTTTCATTTGGATAGGGGCAAAAAGATGCCAAAGTAAAAAAAAATTTACCGTCTTGCATGAGCCATCCTTTGCGGATTGAAGGGTCTAGGGAAGACTAGAATTCACTTCAAACGCATAACATATGGACATGTAGGATTGGATGAGGGCTGGTTCTCACCGGCATACGCCCACGTGGGAAGATTGGGTTGGCTAGGTCAACCTAATGATTAGAGAATGGCACATTAAACAACTTAAAACCTGGAAGAGGGGCCCTGGAATAAGGGTGTTGCCTGGAAGAGGGCTGAACCTTGGAGAGGGTTCGCGATCATAGGACATGGTCAAAATCTCCGAAGAAAGTTCGGGTCTTGAAGTTGAGACTTGATAATTCCAAAACCGATTCGGATTATTCGTTCGAAATTTGAGCAAGGTTACTGTTAGGCATGACATCCAGGCCAAAGGGGTAAAGGAAAGTGGCATGGTCAAAAGTGACCGGTCACTTTTTGATGTTTTGGATTGGCAAGAAAATGCGAATGGGAAAAAATTAAAATTTGACCGGTCAACTTTGAGGAAAGTGACCAGTCACTTTTTAGTTGGCGGATTTGATGAAATCAGACAAATCTGGAAAAAATATTTTTTGACCGGTCACATTTTTGACCCGGCACCTGGACAGGAAATTTGACTTCATGCTGGTTACATATTGCAACCAAGCCATTAGAAGTTGGTCAGGAAGAATTCAACCTAGACGAGTGTCACATTCTAACCTGGAAGTTGACTAGGTCAGAAGACAAGCGGGGAAGAAACCGACCTAGACGTTTTCAAGTCAAGAAACCAGGACATGAGATGACCTGGAAGTTTTCAAGCCTTGCGTCTAAAGTGGTCTTCAAAATTTCCAACCTAGCCTACTACACCATGACATGAGATGACCTGGACGTTTGTTGCAGTTCAACCTAGACATAAGCCGGTCCAGAAGACTAGTCATGCATGAGGTGCTCTGGACGTTTCATGGGGTGTAGAAATAAAGGTTTACACCTGGACGTTTACAAGGGTTGCTAAACCCGGACACCTTCGAAACCCACCTAACCAGGACATTAGATGACCCTGACATTCCTAAAGGATAAAGCCGGTTACTTCTTTTGACTTGGAATCAAGCATATTCAAGAAAATTGTCAACCAAGCCAATGAGGCCTGGACGTTTTCAAGACCAGGACATGAGATGGCCTGGACGTTCTTTAAAACGATTCCTAAGGTATAAGGCCGGTTAGTTTTATTGACTTGGAAGTTCATTCAAAGGCGATCAAGAAAAAGAAAAGAAAAGCAATCATGCAAGAAACAATAACCATGCATAGAAAAGGAGTTCAACCATGCAAATTGAAGCAGATCGACCGGTAAAAGATAAAGGCATGCCAAGAGGATTTAAGTTTCATACAAATCAAAAGTAGGCCGGACATCCCCCAGGCCTTGGGAAAATTTAGTGTTTGAAAACATACCCTAACCTACTCAAGGGGAAAGGGGGGAGCTGGCTCTTCCTTGTATAGGGCTGGAAGCTTCAACTTGGCCGGGTCGAAAGAAGGGTCCTTCCTCTAGAGTCTGGCATAGAGAAGAGATCTCTCTTCCTTTTGGCCACACTGAAACCCATAGGACCCGACATCTGTTATCATTCTCTTGCCTTCCGGTTCCTTATACATGACTTTGAAAAAATCCATGGTGTCCTCCGGATTGGTGAGAATGGACCCGGCAACTTCAGTGTGATGGCAGGCGGCCTAAATCGCAGCATCATCAGGAAAGGCCTCCTCTTTTGACCGGGCAGTCACTTCAGCTTGGGCCAAAGCATCTTCCAGCTCTGCCACCTTCCTCTCTGCCTCCACCAACTTGGCCCTTTCCTCCTCTAACCCGTCCCTTTCAGCGATCAGCTCTTCTTCCAGCTTCTTCTCCCTCTCAACCCGGTCATTGATCTCTAACTTAGCGGAGTCAAGGAGGAGGGTGAGCTCGGAAACCTGGTCCTTTGGTTCAACGATTGACCGGCCTACTTCTTCAGATATAACTCCAGCCTGGAAAACATGCCTATCAGTAAAAGCAAGGAAAGAATTTAACCGGGAGGAAAATCAGAGTTGGTACCTTGCTAAGTTTCTTGGCCACGGACAGAAATGTCACTTCAATGGACTCCCCCTCCAGATCTGATAGCCTGACCTTCTTCCTCCTTTCCCCCCTGGAAGTCTTGTGGGAACCCTTCCTTTTCTGAGAGGAAGAATGACCGGTCCCTTTTCCTTTGGCCTTGACATCCTTCTTAGGAGAAGGGACCCGGTCACTTTCAGAGAGATGGGTGGCTGGAGGAGATTTCAGCTTCTGGCTCTGTTCATGGATAGAGCTACACCGGGCACTTGTGGCCCCATCCATTTCAGGGAAGTGAGGAGGAGAAGGATGCTTGGAGAGAGGAGACCAGTTGGAGTGGAGGACTTGGACATCATCATCGTCATCCTCGATGATGGTGGTCATCCTGTTGAAGTTCATGTCTGAAAAAGAACAAAGCAACAAATGACCGGTTAGTTTTTAAACCTTGTACATAAATAAAGAAAAATCAAAGTAAGAAGCTTAAGAGAAGATGATCGACCTGGACGAGGAGAACTGGCCTCAGCATGACCATCTAGGAGTTTGCCTGGTCATCTTCTGCGTCATGGGTCGCGGATTCACCCCCATCTGGATTAGGTAGCCGGAATACCCAGCCTCCATAGGCATAAGGTTTCCCGGTCACAGGATCACCCTTGAGAAGTTTCTCGCAGGCGTCCTCAAGATCTTTAGTCGGCTCCGGATGAACCCTTTCAGGTTTTATAACCCGGTCAGCCCACTCAGGGTTAGAGAAAGGAAATTGGTCAGGGGGGAATTCAACAAAAACAAATCTTTTCTTCCATATTTTGTGGCTAGGGGGAAGACCGGTCACAAAAGACCTCTTATTACGAGAATGAAAATAGACGAAGCCCGGGCAGTTACTAGTCCCGGGCAAGACTTCGTACATGTGGAGGAAAAGCTCAAGGGAAGGGTCGATTTTCAGATTTTCACAGATATTAACAAAACAATTTAAGAACCGGTGAGCGTTAGAAGTAAGTTGACCGGGCAAAACATGAAACTTTTTACAGATTTCAATAAGGAGGGGGTGAAGAGGAAAAATAATACCTCCCTCCAGAGAAGCAACATGGAAACCCAACCGGGTTCCCTGGTGGGGTTCAATGATGTTGGGCCAGGTGGTTTTGGAAAGGACTTTGTAGCCCGGTGTGTAACGCCCTGAAATCTGGCCCAAAAGAATTAATTAAATTGTTAGAGCAATTGATTACGACTTGGGCCCAAAAAGGGGTTAAAATTATAATTTGGATTCTAAGCCCAACTTTTATGTCATCTCGTAGGAAATATTTTTGTGATCGCGTCGGTTCAGACGGCTCGCGAATCGGAGTTATGGAGCTCATGTTATGACCATTTAATCAGGTATTTTGGGCCCGAAGCCCAAACCACTAGTATTGGAATTAATAGATAAAACCTAAACTAATTTAAGCCGTAGGATCGTTATCTTCTTTCTTCTTCTTTCTTTCTTTCTTCTTCTTCTTCTTTCTTTCTTCTCCTTCTTCGTCTTCAATCGCTGCCGGTCATCCCCGTTTGACCACGCCGGCGTCGCCCGAGCCAGACGCCGCTCATCGTCAGTCGCCATTCCCCGCCAATCGCCGCTGTTTCCTTCGTCGGTCGTCCTCCCCTGCCGATCGACCTCCGCCTCCTCGCCGCACTAGCCAACTACGGCCTTTCCTTCGCCGGAAGTCCGTCGCCCACTGCCAGGGTCAGTGCCGCCAACGACGATCTTCAATCGCGCTGCTTCTCCTTTGCCAATAGCCGCCGCTCCTCGCCGTCGAGTGTAGCTCCGCCAGTCGCCTCCAGCCACCATCGCCCTTAGCTCAGGTCAGTCTCTTCTTCATCTTCCTCGCAATTTCCTCTGCAATCGGACCTCTGGAGCAGCGCCACGCTGGGTCGCCACCTTCGCCAGCGGTCGCTGCGACTCACCGGACTGATTCATCGCCGGTTCACCGTTGTTGCAGCTAGGGATTTCGCCGGACAGAGGCTATCACCGGAGCTGCTCCTCTGTTCGTGGTCTCTGGGAGCTGCTGCCGCCTCGCCACTGTCGCCGGCGTCCGCCACCGTCGCCGCACCCAGCCGCTGCCCCGGATTGATATTGCCGGCAGATTAACCTCCACGCCGGATTGATTGGTCGATTTCGTATTTTGACTCAATTTGACCCGTTCGTTTGATTTCGTCGATTTGTCTTCCGTTCGAGCTATCGATTCGATTTCGGCGTAATCCAGGTCCGTACTATGAAGTTAATAGCATTCAGAATAGATTTAATGGTTTGGATCGTTATATGTGTTTATGCTATAATTTGGCTAAATTGGTTAATTGAATTAAATTGATTATTTGAATTGAATTGTTGAGGATTATGGATTGACTGAACAGGTTTGACTTTGACTTGGGTTAGGTCCTGTTTGACTTGGACTTTGACTGGATATTCTGT